GCCAGTAAAAATTCATATTCGCATATAAAAAATATTCGTATTTCCGAACAAATGAGAGGGGTGATTTCCATATAGTGGGACAAAACCGCAAGACTCATAGGGTTTGTAACAATAACACCAAATGCAGTCAAACCTACGCAAAGTTTGTTCAGTGCAGCCAGTGTCTTCGATTCATCCGTACTTATTGCAGCATGAGAGGCTGCTGGCATGTTCTAAAGTGTAACACACAAGTGTATAATAATATATGGCATTACTTGAGTCTATTCAATCACCATGAATGCCAATGTGCTTAATGGTTGTTTTCTATGGAAGAACTTATTGAACTTCCGTCATGAGTTCAACTTCATGAATGGGACTAACGATCAAAGTCGAGATTTCATGTAAGGGTGAGCCAGTTTTGTGCTCTACCTCGTTCTATTCTGCTACAGTGCTCGTTAAAATTGTATCAGTAATTTCGTACTAGTACTGTTTCATCTAAAAGTGACCAGCAGTTATACGCTGCCGGCATAAGTGAACCGTAGCGGTTCTAATCCGTAACCCGGATAACCTTAGTACCCTCTGCCTTTCATGTCTGCCCAGCTGCTACCTTCGCCGGTAGCAATCCAGCCTCCGTGAAGTGAAGGTCAAGGGTTTAGCTGTGATTCCATCTTGAGGATGTCGCCATAGCTCACCATGCCGACCTGGCGAGTTGGTGAGTGTTGCCTCCTCTTCTATTTGGCCGGATATATTTCTTAAGCTTTCCCAGCATGGTTGAACTCACCAGAGCGTAAAGGCTATTGTCTTGAGAACCCTCTTGTACCACGTTGAGGTAGTGCGTAACATCTGTGAGCGAGATACCGTCGATGAAAAATAGTGTTAGCGTAATAACGGAGACTTGGATTAGTATTTGTTTTTCGAGATAGACATTTAATACTTCACAACACCTGCTCATCGACAGAGTGGGATTACTTTGGGAGCGTCAATCAATTTATACGTAATAGTTAAAGTTAGCAAGACATAAAGGGGATGGAGTATTATCGTTCTTAACGGCTAGGTAAATGTATATCAATTATGCATGCCAAATTATAGCCAATGAGCTGTAGTGTGATTTTTCTGTGTATGTAAGTTGTTTCAACACTGAACGAAAAATCCTAACCGTAGCATTCTCGACCGTAAGACTATAACGGTGTGGCCATTTGCCAGTGTGGCGGCATGGCCGACCATCCGTCCGTCACTTGAATGCCGTCGACGCTGGCCGGTCGCGCCCAGCTGAGCCGACTCTCTGCTATAGTAATCCGGCCGGTCGATTTAATATTCATGTCGGTCGTCGTCGTCGACAAACCGGCGACAGCCTGCATGTCAATCAAGTGCTGGCGATTCAGACCGACGATAGGTCCAAAGGCGTTCGACCAAAGAACTGTGACGACCACCTTTCAAATGCTAATCGCCGTTGCTGATATCTGCTGTCATTAGGGTCGTTTTGTGTGTCTATTTATTTGCCGATGGTTCACTGCCCGACCCGACCCTTTGTTCGCCTTTATGGTCGCCGACCGTTTCGCCTGTGCCCGTTTTTCATAGACTCTTTCTTGCTGTAGGTATGGTTCCAGAACCGACGAACGAAATGGCGGAAACACGAGGCGTCGAAAATGGCGAAAGCGAAAAACGACCAGGACCGCCTTCTGCAGTCGCACAGAGCCCAGCACTCGCTGAGTCTTACGTAAACCCCGCCAAATGTTTACGAAGTTTGCGACAGACTACATGCCATGTTTATTATTGCCAAATTTTGTTCCATGTTTAAATAAAGCCTGTAGTTTTGGTAAAGTCGATAAGCACTTACTGTATGCATAGACATGACTGATTGTAGCTTGAGACGAAGCATTTTTGGAAACAGGCCTCTTTCTGAAACGAACGACTTTCGACATCCTTAGACCAGGAAGATGAGTTATGCCGTACCCATTCAAGGTCACATTTGACGTCTTTACTTCTATTCACTGGGAGGGACAGAGACCATGACATTAATACAAGTTCCTTAAGGTCGTAATTGACTCGATCAGCGTAACGACTTTTCGCTGACCTGCAGTCTTAATGCTTTATGCGGTCATATGTATGCTTGCCAAGCCTGCACTTTTAATGGCCAATCCTCAATTTATTATATAAAATCGCTAAAACAAAGCAGTTCGTCACAGCAGCAGCAGTGCTGTAACAATCATCCATCGACACCGGTGGCTGACCGGAAGGCATTCCACTGCTGGTCACTGATTGTATCACCATATCTTACCATTGGAAGGAAATATTATAGAGATTTTACTCCTATGACAGCTCATCCAAAATTTTGGTATGCAAAGCAAGATTGCCCTGCTTCGTTCAGGTTGACGGTCCAATGGAGAATTTTTTTCTTAAAGAGTAGACTACATCATGCAATTCATGCTTTATTGGGAAAAGTGCCTTTTATAGTCAGTTCCAACCATGTAGATTAATCGACGGTTATTCTATCAGCTAACTAGTTATGACTGACTTGATTGGTTTTAGGGTCTCATAACTTCATAACGCCTAAACAGAGAATAGGCTACTTCCTACTTTTGTCACTATCCCTCCCCCCCCCGTGAAGTATATATGAGATCACTTGTGTGATTGGCAATGCAATATGTATGCAGAAGGATTAGCGGCCATGGTTCATATTAAGCCGCATGGAAATAACGACG